AAAAATATGAATAAAGAGTAGAATAAAAATAAAATTAACATAATTTTATTCACATAGTGGTGGTGGGAATAAAAATAAGGAATTTTCAAAATAATGATATATTATTGTTATTTATTTTATATCAACTACTTCCACCACCACCACCAACTATTGACGGTGGTGATAAGAAAAAACTTTTGAAATTTTTTTTTACTATTATTATGATTTTATCACCATAATCACCATCATTTTTTTTATTGTTACATAAAATCAATTTTTCCAATTATATTATTACTATTATTGATACCACCACCACTTCATCTATCTTCATTACTACTATTGCTATCACAATCAACTCTATTATTTTTACTATCATCATAATTGATAAAATTATTTTTTAATCATTATTCTTATTTATTTAATTAAAAATTAAAAATTTCATTTATATTCTTTCTTACTATTTCAATTATGATCAGGGGTCATGACATCCAAATAGAATTTTATGGGTTGCGAAAAATAAGAAAAAAAGATTATTATAATATTATGGAATTTTATTTAGATAAAGACCATGTTTTTAAATAATTCTTAAATGATAATAAATTGTAATTTAATTGATATTAATTTCTTTAATTATTTTTTAAGAGATCTTAAATTTGAATATTTTCTTTGTGATAAAAAAAATCTTGTATAATAATACTTGCTTGTTAGCATCATCAACATTCGAGAAGATTCTCCATTTTAAGACAATTGATTTGAGATACTAGGAATATAATTTTTGTCGCACCAGTTATTACAACCCAACTTGGAGGTCCTAAAACTTTTGAACCCAGACTTTTTTTCCTCTAGCGGATAGCGTTAGTCATTTTCGTTAGCAGAGGAGAAGGGAAGAGCATATTTTACACTGATGACACTGAAAATTGAAAGATTCGATGCTCAGGAAAGTGGGATTTAAATCAGGCCAAGAGATCTCCTAAAACAAGATCGCATACGGCACTGTTTCAGCCACTTCAGGAAAGTAAGGTATAGATAAGCCTGATATATCTCCTTAATGGAGATGGAATTATCCGGCACCACTTGCTCTCAAAAAAAAAAAAAAAAAAAAAAAAGGTTAAAGTTGTGATCACTTTCTACAGTAACTGGCATATGATCATGAAGAACTAAAATTAATATGTAGAACTTTGAAAAGTAATAAGGTGTGAGAAATTGCGTAGAAATGTTTTTCATAAATTAACTTTGAATATAATTTAACTATTTTAAATTATCGGAATATATTTTCCTGTAACAAAAAGTTAATCATACGGTAACATATAAAAATATTATCTGTAATACAGTAATTTTTCTTTCTACAGGTCCTAAATGATGAGAGCTTCGCAATCCTTGTTCTCATGGCACTCTTTACCACCTTCATCACCACCCTAACCGTCATAGCCATCTACAAACCCGCCCGTGGTGGCTCCTCCACTAGCTCCCACCGCAAGCTAGGTGACTTGACAACCACAAAAGATACGAAGGACGAGCTACGAATCCTTGCATGTGCTCATGGATCAGGAAATGTACCCTCACTTGTCGGTCTTATTGAGGCAACAAGAGGCACTAAAAAATCCCTACTCAAACTCTTTATCATGCACCTCATGGAACTTACTGAGCGATCGTCATCAATCATCATGGTCCAACGGGCCCGTAAAAATGGCCTTCCATTTATTAATCAATCTCGGCCTAGTGAATGGCATGACAGAGTCGCAGGAGCATTCCAGGCCTATAGTCAATTGGGCCGAATTTCTGTACGGACCATGACAGCAATCTCAAATTTGACTACCATGGACGAGGATATTTGCCAGGTGGGTGAAAATAAGAAGGTAACCCTGATTATTTTGCCATTTCATAGACAGTGGAGAGGAGATGGAGATAAGGCCATGGACAACGTTGGCCATGGATGGAGAGGGGTCAATCAAAGGGTGCTTAAAAATGCACCTTGTTCAGTGGCAGTGCTTGTGGACCGTGGATTTGGAAATGGGTCTCAGATCCCAGAGGCTAATACCAAGATAATCCAAAGGGTCTGCATCATGTTTTTTGGTGGACCTGATGATCGTGAGGCCTTGGAGTTCGGTGGTAGGATGGCGGAACACCCTGTAGTTAAAGTCTCCATTGTCAGATTCGTCCAAAAAGAGGGCCAAGAAAAAAACCACGTTGTGTTACAGCTTTCACCATCCGAATGTGGCGCTACTACTGAACTAAGTTACAGCTTCTCCACTGCTGCAATGAACCCAGAGAAGGAAAAGGCATGTCCTCTCTCTCAACTTCTATCACTATAATATACTATTCTTTTTCTAATTTTTGTCATCTTAATCAATAACGAAAAGAAAAACTTGGAATGTTCTTGATTTTCTGAACTAATCAGGACCTGGACGCGACTGCCATTGCTGAATTTAAGAACAAGTGGGAGGGGACAGTAGAGTATACAGAGAATGTAGTAAGCAACATTGTTGAGGGGGTGTTAGCGATAGGGAGGAGCGGGGATTACGACCTTATTGTTGTTGGCAAAGGCAGGTTCCCCTCAACTATGGTTGCAGAATTAGCATACCGCCAGCCTGAACATGCCGAGTTGGGACCTATTGGAGACATATTGGCCTCATCAGGCCACGGTGTTGACTCTTCAGTGCTTGTGGTTCAACAGCACGATTTATCTCATGCGGAGGAGGCTCCAGTGTCGAAGGTAGTGCATTCTGAGCATGAGAAGTCGGCCGACGAGTCATTCGGTTTGGGGGAGATTACAAGGGAGGCTGTGTGATCTTAAGGTGATGACATGAAGGTAACATGATGTGCATATGTAAGATTAGCAAGCTGAGATTATTTAGGTCTGTATTCTGTTGTTGGTTCCCGCAACTTGCCAGGTTTTCCTCCTAATGTCCAAAGGTTATAAATAATTATTAAGGAATTAATAATGACAATGGGATTTGGATTGCATATAATCGCTTGTAACCAACCAGTATGTACTTAAGTATCATTATGTATATTTAAACCTTATGTTTTAGTCCTTACTAGTTTGTGACCCACGCGTTGATCTGACGTGGGTAGATGGATTTGGGGTGTCGATGTTGATAAACGACGTTATAAGATAAGAAGTAATTTATGAATAAACTTTAAATGAATTAATTGATCAATCGATAAATTCATCAACACTAATTTATTTTGTTGTAGCGATTAATGTTGTGCCATGCAGGTTGCATAAACATTTTTTTCCCTATAAATAGATCTCTTCGCCTATAAAAAGCAATGTTCTAAAATTATCAATATTATAATTCTTTTGATGTAGTGCACAATTAATTTTATCCAAATTTATTTTTTTATGATCTCTATGTTTTTCATAATTTTTCAATTAAAAAAAACATGATTCGCTTTTTTATGCGATGATTTTAAAAATAAAAACTTGTAAGAATGTAAATTATTATTTTTTCAAAATTCAAAAACATGCCATCAAAATATACTTTTCATAATATTTTATTAGAAAATGTTTTTATTTTATTTAATGTTGTTGTGAAGTTTTTTTATAAAATATAAATTGACAATGAGTGTGCGTCTTTAGTAAAACGTACGGTAACCTAATGTTTTGTTTCAGTGTTTTTTTTTTTTTAAATTATATAGCCTTTGTGACAGTTCTAGCTCACTTTAATAATCTCACTAATCTACAAATATGATCCCTAAAGTAAAAAAATATTCAAGCCATTAACCCTCCCTTTAAAACCATAGTATATGACATTATTTAAGGCCTAAAATCTTTTTTAAAAAAAACGTTATGTGTTGTTGATAATGACTTTGAAGACATAGTGTTGGCTCAGTAGCAGGACCGGCAAAATGGTTGTCCTAATAATGTAACAGTGTACTTGTTTCATTCTTGGCAATTTTTTTTTTTTTTTTGTCTTCTCCGTTGACGCTCTTGATTTGTATTTTTTTTCTCTCTCTCACACTATTACCAGTGTTTTATCACTAAGAAAATGAAAAATTGAAATATTTAACCAACCCACAATTTATAGTACTACTCCTAGTATTTATTATATTAAGAAAGACAGAATAGTAGTTTGTGACTTGCCTTTTGCTACAAGCTTTATACGATCAGACAGATAATTAGTGGTGTTGTTTACAAATGAGGTTATAAAATAAGGCAATATTTATAAATAAATCTAAAATTAATTGATTGATCAAGCAAAAAACTAATCAGAACCTTATTTATTTTGTTGTTCAGATGAATGTTGTGTGATGTAGTATGTGGAAAGGCCCTTTTTTTCATTTAAAAGATATAAGAAGGTTTGTTTAGTAAATGAGGATTTTATTTTTTTATTCATATCCATTCAGAACTAATTTGGGTCAATTTTTTTATTCTAAAGACAAAAGAAGCTTTGTCCAATATTAAAAAGGATCCTAAAATTGATAGTTCATGATAAAAATATTATATTATTGATCGTAAAATTATATTATATTAATTTTTTCCTTAATTTTGGCATTTCATCGCAGTCAATTCTTGCTTTTCATTAGTTTGTTGCTAGACTATGCTGATTTAATTTATATACTTCGCATACATATTCCATATATCATTCTTTGGAAACAAAAACACTGTAATGTTTAAAAGCAAGCTTGGAGTGATAAAGGTCTAAAAAGGATGGTGAATAGTTCCATCATAAAGAATTAAGTGTTGTTTGTCGGGTGATTTAATGCTTAGAACAAAAATATTGTAGTTTTTTATGAATGGTTGACAATTCCACCAATTTTTCTCATGTATTTGGCCATTGTTGTTGCTTGCCTGCAGAAGCATATATTTCTCACGTATATGATTTAAGAGCATAAAGTTAAGAGGGGAAGGATGGTGTAGCTTGATACTTTCAAATTTCATTAATTGGCACAATACTCATACTTTTTCTTCTTTACAAGCATATCTTCTACCCCTTTGGGTATGTTGATCTAAGATCAACAAATCCATGCTAAGAAATCAAAAATAAGTTATACTTTTTGATAGAACATGAGGGTGACTACATCCGATACTTGGCTTGACAATCTACTTCATGGATGAAGCATTCAAGATGGATATTCATTTGTTCCTCAGACTGTGTGAGAATCAACAGACGGAAGTGGCGAGACCTTAAGGGAGGAAAATAACAAAAAATAAGGCAATGGCGGCTGAAGAAGAAGAGAGGGTTAAAGAGGTACAAAAAAGCAAAGGTGGGCGCAACATATGTTAAAGAAATTAATTGTTTCATCTCTGCATTGGGCAATAGCTACATACAGGGGTTTCTTTCCAATCATCTTTCCATTCATTTCATTCAACTGAAAACAAAAATTGGTAATAACAAATTAATATAAAAAATAGATAATGTAAAAGGCTAGATGGAAAGATGTATTTTTTAAAAAAAAAATTTAAAACTTATAGCTTTTGAAGCTTCCTTACATGTAGAAAAGGCAACAAAACCAAAGCCCTTACTCAGTCCTTATTGATCAAGCATAATCTAAAAAGAATATTAGCATATGAATAACAAAAATAGCAAATAAAAAAGGTAATGACAATTGAAGAAGAAAAGAAGATAAGAATAGAGGGTTAAAGAGGCAGAACGAGAAAATACAAAGACTAATAACAACAATGTAATTAGAAAAACAAAGGATGAGCACAACTTATGTTAAAAAAAAATTAAAGGAAACATTATTAAACCGAATAGTAAGAGAAATAGTGAAATGAGTCTCGGTGCTACAATAATAAGAACAATAAAACACCTTTGTGTTTTAGAGTTCTTGTAATGTTTTTAAATCTATTTATAGTTTAATTTTTGTTTGGTTTTTTTTGTTGTTGCTCTTTTCTAATTTATTTTGATTTTTGTTTAAAATATAGAAAAATTAATTAAAAAAAGAAGACAAGTTTGTGGAATAAAAATAATATTAAGTTTAAGTACACTTAACATTGAAAAAAGAAAAACAAAACAATAATTTTTTCAAAAATAAAAACTAATTAATTCATTTCCTCAAATTAAAAAAAATTATTTTTTTATTTATTCTACAATAAGGATAAAGATCAAAACTAGTCTTATCTTATAACTTGAAAAAAAAAAATTACATTTTCACAAGTCAATCTTCAACCTTCAAGACTTTGCAAGATTTGGCTCAACCTGTCAATATTAAAGCTCGTTGGTCCCTGCCGTTTGAGCAGTCAAGTTGAATCATAGGGAAAGCAAAGTAGAATAATTGAATATATTTTGGTAATGCTAATAAAAAAATAAAATCTCACATACAATTTTCCTCTCTCCATTCAATACAGCTCTCTTTTAAAACGGCGGGGGCCAACAAGTTGTAATGTTGATACATGGAACCAAATTTTGCAAAATTTTGAAAGTTGGGGAATGACTTGTTGAATGCTATATAGGTTGGGGACTGATTGGTCGTTATCACTTAATTATTCCTCGGAAGTTGCAAGGTCTCCCATAAGCACGGACGGTGTCTCAATAGAAATAGAAGTGGAGTAAATTATAATTATAAATTAATCCATCTAATTAATTACTTTTTTGACCAATGCTATTGTTGATTTTATATTATTTTATTTCAAAAAAAAATATCTTTTTTTTCATTAATACTTTCATATTTTTAACTTATTTTTTAAAACAAAAAATCAAAATAAAATTGTAAAATAAGTTATAAACAGATTTAAGAATATAAAATTAACCAAATATTTTTTGAAACTAAAATAAATATTTAATTCTTTTTAAAAAAGTAAAGAATTAATATATGAATTACTCAATAGAAATAAGAGAAGGTTACCAATACATACAATAAAAACCTCAATTGTACGTTCAGAACGTTTTGAATTGGGGAAATTCCCTTCACTTTGCGACGGTAAGGAGAAATTATTATTCAAATTCAGTTGATTGGACTTAATCTCACCATTTAAAACTTTCATGGACTAATTTGTACCTAATCCAGCTATAAAGACGCACGGATGGAAATGATAACACCCCGTACCTCAGCCCTCTCCCTCTCAGGTCTCAGCAAGCGATAGAAACGAAGAAGGATGGAGAGGGAAAGAACAAAGAAGAAAGCAGCAGCAGAGCTTTCGCTTCAACAATTCATCTCCATTACGTCTCCTTTGCTCGATTTAGAAAAGGTTTCTTTCTTTTTCTTCTTCTCTCCGGTCTCCATTATTATCTACTGCTATAAAAAATTTACGATTTTTAATAATCAATTATATGAAAATGAATAATTGTTTGTTTATTATGTTTCTATAGGAAGCAGAGATATCAGCGTCTATTAGTTCAGGCGCGTCTAGAAATTTAGATTCTGCTCAAAAGAAAGGTTCTACGATTCTCAATTTAAAGTGCGTTGATGCGCAGGTAAATAACTAAATACTTTATTATTTCTTAATTATTTTTAATTTTTAATTTTTAATTTTTTTAAATTATATAATAGACAGGTTTAATGGGGAAAACACTACTGGAGTTCCAATCTAATAAAGGGGATGTTTTACCTGCTCATAAGGTGAAGATTTATTTATTATAATAATTGGCTATAAATATATATTTTTTTATGGCGGCATGTTTGTTATCATAATTTTTTTTTCTTTTTATTGGAATTATTGTCGTAGTTTGGTACACATGATGTGGTTGTTTTGAAACCGAACAAAGCTGATTTAGGATCTCCTGCTCTTGGTCAAGGTGTTGTTTATCGGTTAAAGGTAATTAACCAGGGCTTTGATTTGGTGATTAGTGTTTGTTTTGGTTATAAATTATTCTTTGGTTGATTTGTGGCGGATATTTTTGGTTTGGATATTAAACAGGACACATCTATTACTGTTGCTTTTGATGATGTACCGGATGAGGGTTTAAATAGTCCTCTACGGTTGGAGAAAGTTGCAAATGAGGTACATTGTTTAAATTTTCTAAAGATCACATGTTACAGGCTTTGCGTGACAAGTTAGTGCAGGATAAATTTTTGTGTGAGCTTACGGTTTCTTGGTTGCGCTGTAGAAGATTTTTTTCATTCATTAGATTCTGTGATAAGTTCAGTGCTGGATTACGTGAACCATATAGTAGATGAAATTTGTGTTGTGTTTTATCTGGCCCCTATTAGTGTGCTCAGTCCTGTGGTTTTAAAAACACCCTTTTGAATGCTTTTGTGGTGATTTTGAGATTAGGATGGTGAAGGCAGCTGCAAAATAAACTTCTAACCAAAGCACACCAAAGAGTGCTTTTGAAAAAGCAGATTTAAAACAGGCTCTGTACCTTTGGCTTGTAAAAACAAGTTATGCAGTCTAGTAAATGAATGAGAACTGTGGTCTATGAGGAGATTAATTTTAATTATCACGACGACTGCAGTTTTTCAAATTATGATAGTCAGGAAAGATTGCTGTAGGTTTGGATTTCTTATGCAGGTGACGTATCGAAGGATGAAGGATGCCTTGATTCAGTTGAGCAAAGGGGTGCAGCGAGGCCCTGCTGCCGAATTAATTCCTGTCTTATTTGGAGAGAGACAACCAACAATGTCAAAGAAGGATGTTACATTCACCCCACTTAACTCTCACCTTGATCACTCTCAGGTGTGCATGTGCATCCTTATAGATTTCTCTGCTGCCAATCTGATGGCTTATTAGTTCTATCTCCTTGTTCCATTTTAAGACAACTCAAGGTTGCCAGTAATAATAAAATCTGATGAAAATGAAAGATGTTGACATTAATGACCATATGCACTCTCTCCAATCAGATATAGCTTTTTAACTTTTTAATTTATGTATTTATCATTCTGTATCAACCTTATGCGAGGATCTTTGTGCATGCGTGTGTCTTTTTGTGTGTGAATCAATCTTACTATATAATCAAATGATGTAGTGGTGGTATTTTGAATTTTTTTTTATGAGAAAACTCCTAAGTAGTTTGCGTCATTTCTGAAATATATTTCTCACTTTAGAAAAGTTTAAGCAGGTGCATTTTTGGTTTTGAAGCTTGAATACTAATGCATCCAATATTATGGCTAAATTTTTATGTACATTCAGCATACACATGCCTCCTTATCTGCTTTGTGCTTTCAAATATTTCACTGATTCTGCATACACATGCCTCCTTATCTGCTTTGTGCTTTCAAATATTTCACTGATTGTGTTTCATGCTATTCCACAAACTAAAAAATCTCTTCTACTTTTATTTTTCCTTTTCTTTTTTTTTTTGGTCAAGAAAGATGCCATTTCGAAGGCATTGTCATCAAAAAATGTATTTTTACTGCATGGGCCTCCTGGAACTGGAAAAACCACAACTGTGGTCGAAATTATCTTGCAAGAAGTGAAAAGAGGATCAAAGATTCTTGCATGTGCTGCTTCAAACATTGCTGTCGACAACATTGTTGAGCGACTTGTAGCTCACAGGTATGTTGATTCCGTAATGTATGGGTAAGTAAATTAAGTTTTGGAATCTAACCTAGCATTAACACCATTAACTTAAAGATTTCTTTCGTAATCCTAGTAGTAGTCCTTACACATGTTAAGCTATGAGATTATGAATCTATGATCTAATTTGGATTCCACCTAAGTAAAAGTTGTTTGAGCAAATAGTAACTAACTGCTGGTACTTTTTATTTTTCTTTCTCACATGCAAAGTCAACATCTAGTTTAGAATAAGACTGAGTAGTTCTTCTGTGCTGCTTTTTCATTTAGTGTCATAATGGTTAAGTATTACAAAAATTTCTCTCACTCATTTTCCATTCTTTTATCAGAGTAAAGTTAGTGAGATTGGGGCATCCTGCACGCTTGCTACCTCAAGTATTGGACAGTGCACTTGATGCACAGGTATACTATGATATTGATGTTTGGAAATTAAAGGAAAAAAAATTGAATCTGAAGTTCTTATTTCCATGATCATCTACTTGAGGTACATGTCCTCTTTCATTCATGTGGTTCACTTATTGAGTTCATATTTGTACACTACAAAATGTTGGGAATTGAGATTGTCTTGTCAATTCGTGTGGTAGTTTATGAGGATAACTATCTTTGTTTTTGTTTGCTTTCTTCAAGGAACTGAACTGAATATTTTTATCAAGTTGCTTGATAAGTTGTAATTTATCAACATTTATGCAGTTAGCATTTTTTACTGCATACTGATATGATACCGTTTTGTCATTTATCGATACACAGCCTTCCTCCATGTCTTCTAGTTGTGGATATGATAATGAGGAAGGAAGCTCCTTTGTTTGCCACAATTTTCTTACCAAAGTGGATAGAGCACACTTGATGGACAATGATCTTTTTCACATGCACCTTCCTCGCATTTGAGTTTCTGTGTTTTTCTTATGCATTTGGTTCTTTGCTGTCAGGTTCTACGGGGGGACAACAGTGCCCTTGCAAATGACATTCGGAAGGAAATGAAGGTAGAGATTCAGATTATAACTACAGTTTGCTACTATGGATCTTTCTTTATTCACTGTTTCAGGAAATTGATGGTCTATTTCCTGTGTTGTTAACAATCAGTTCTTCACCACAGGATGCTAGTCGTTATAATTTGCAGCAATAAAATTTGATTTTAAAGCAGAAAAGTAGTTTGGATTCATTTTGCTGTGATAGCTTTTTGAGGCTTTGCATGGTAGATGGCATCTTTGAAGCCAAAATATTTAGACTAGAAAAAGTGGATGAATAACTGAAGTATTCATTCACCGAGTTAAATGTAGAGGGTTGTGTGGTGAAGAGTGAAACAGTTGAAGGCTATTTAAAGTGCTCTGTTTTAGAATTGAACTCAACTAATCCACCTAAGCCTAGTCACAAATTATTGGGAACAAGTGGTTGTATCCTGTTCTGTTTAATAAGAAATACATAACTTTGTTTTTGCTTGTGAAAATAATTTTGGCTGCGGACACAATTTACCACTATTTCAATAGAGTATAATCCTCTCACCGGCTGAACTATTTTAACTCTAATGCTATGAACATAAAGTTGTAGTTTAACGTATAACTGTGAAAAGTCTTTGTGATTAGATGCGAAGAAAATACTTATACTGCAAGGCTGTATATAAGTTGATGCATTAAAATATCATAGACATTAACACAGAACAAATTAGGTGGTAGTTGGGGAGAATAGATGAGATGCTTACAAGTGCTTAATCCTTTGATGCAAATGGGAAGGCAACAGATGTCCACGGCAACCTCATGTAGATTCATCCTGATAAAAAACCGCAGTTGTAATAGGCAAGGAACTTTTTTCCTTGTCTTTTTAAAATAAAGAAACAACTATAAGAATCTACTTCTTTTGCTGCAGTCTAGAGTAGTTGGCAGTAGCTATAACTTCCTGAAGGATTGTGTAATAATGCAAAACTAAACTATCTGGAATTACTACCAGAAAGAAAAAAGGAAAAAAACCCTTACACATAAGTATGATAAACTCAATTTTTTCAGGAGTAAGCTTTTGTGCGTCCATGATTTAGTGAAGTTCCTCATATTCCCCAAATTTGTCTCCTCTGCATTTATTCAGACCTTAAATGGAAAATTGTTGAAAGCCAAAGATAAAAGCACAAGAAGAGACATACAGAAGGAAATCAGGATTCTTTCAAAAGAAGAACGCAAAAGGCAGCAGCTAGCTGTGACAGATGTAATTAAAAATGCAGACGTGGTGTTGACAACTTTGACTGGTGCATTTTCTCACAAGCTGGATGCTACTTCGTTTGATTTGGTGATTATTGATGAAGCTGCTCAGGCACTTGAGATAACTTGCTGGCTTGCTTTACTGAAGGTACTATATTACTACAGTTGTCTGCAAATTACGAGCTCAAAAATTTTGTATCTGCACTTTTATTGAAACCTGGGCATGCAGTAGACATCTTCTAAACGTAGAGGTATGCTGCACTGAATATAGTACAGTCACTAGGGAGAGCTGCAGAGCCCATGCCTCCTCCCCACACACACTTTCCCCTAGTTTCCTATGGCTGCTCAAGTCCCCTTGGCTGAATAGAGCCTCTATAGAAAACACCCTCGTAACCCCCTCAATCCCTCCCAATCCACGCCCCCCACCACCACCACCCCACAAATAAATCACCTTTGAACTTCCATCATGCAGTCAGTTAGGTCTTTGAAGTCTTCAAGTTCTTGGTGTGGCTATTTATCTCCCACCATGGCAATTCATTATTATTCTTAGCTGATTACAAGGTTGTCAAAGACATGATATAAAATGTTTGTTTGTGTGGAATTGGTGCTTTATCCTTCAATGTCTTTTGGGTGAAATCTTTACAACAAAAGCCAATGGCAAAGATCAAATTATAATCTGGTCTGATCTAACATATAATGCTGGTAATAACACTCCAACCACCAGTAAATGATATGTGATCATTTCTTCAGGGTTCAAGGTGTATACTTGCAGGAGACCATCTTCAGCTTCCTCCAACCGTCCAAAGCGTTGAAGCTGAGAAGAAAGGGTTAGGAAGAACCCTCTTTGAACGCCTCACAGACCTGTATGGAGATGAAGTTACTTCTATGCTCGCTGTTCAGTACCGCATGAATGAGCTAATTATGAACTGGTCATCTAAAGAGCTTTACAACAGTAAGGTGCTCAGATCAGCAATCGATTTTGGCTGCATGATAAAATTATTAGTAAATAAATCAAAATTATCTTGATTATATAGCAGATTTCATTTTTCTAGTGCTCATCTCTTTTTGGGTCTCTGATGAATGTTTATTCTAGATCAAAGCCCATCCAAGTGTTGCTACACGTATGCTTTTTGATCTTGAGGGTGTCAAGAGATCCTCTTCAACAGAACCGACCCTTCTTCTTGTAGACATAGCTGGGTAAAAGTTACTCCTTTTAATTGAAATATAAGAATTTTATTATTATTATTACTGAATGAAACTAAGTTTCAAATCAAATCAGGGCCGGAAACTGTTGAAGTAGCAGGAGAAGTGAACTAGATAGGATTTTTTTTCCAGATGATAGCAGGATGCCCTCTATGCTAGGAATTTTTGTTGTTTTTTCCTTTCCTCCTTTGATTTTCCTTTAAATTAGATGATAATTGGTCCACACTTCACACTTATCTGATCCAGATGTGATATGGAGGAAAGGAAGGATGAGGAAGATAGCACAATGAATGAGGGAGAAGCTGAAGTTGCAGTGGCCCATGCAAAGAGACTTGTTCAGAGTGGTGTCCAGGCTTCTGACATTGGAATAATTACTCCTTATGCAGCACAAGTATAGATATTTATATCTTTTTATCATTTCTTTTTGTTATGTGTTTCACAATTCGGTTAATATAGTTAGATAAGTAGCTGCCAGGCAAGTGAAAATCTTCTCTATGCACATATTTGATTTCTGGGATAGTTTTCCCTTATATTCTGCAACTGGGACTGCAGGTTGTCATGCTCAAGATATTGAGAAGCAATGATGATAAGCTAAAGGATATGGAAATCTCAACAGTGGATGGTTTCCAGGGTCGGGAGAAGGAAGCCATAATTATTTCAATGGTTCGATCAAACTCAAAGAAAGAGGTATTCTGAGCCTCTGCAGTTCGTCTTCTTGTTTCCTTTTAGATTTGGATGATCAGGATCAGTTATAAAGATTATATACCATCTTTAGCTGTTGAAACTTGGGAACTTTTCCAAAACGTTTCAGGTGGGTTTTTTGAGTGACAACAGGCGAATGAATGTGGCTGTGACACGGGCAAGAAGACAGTGCTGTCTTGTATGTGACACAGAGACAGTTAGTAGTGATGGGTTCTTAAAGCGATTAATTGAGCATTTTGAGGAGCACGGGGAGTATCTTAGTGCATCAGAGTATCTCAATGAATAAGCAGATTTTGCTTGGGAAGAGAGCGTTTTTAAACTGTCAGAGATCATCAAATCGCTCACTGGAAGAATGCAACTTCGAAGTATTCTCACAATTTGTATTTGGATCAAAAGAAATCTGATATTTGATCAGACCAGATTTTACTTGGATGTTATTTATATAATCATCAGGAAATGATTATACTTTGTACTTTTTACCAGAATTTTGAATCGCATAAAAAATCTCGTCCAAATATTCTTTTGCATTGTAATAAATCTCGTCCAAATATAGGTTTCTTGATAATTAAAACTATATATAGGAAAAGCTTTATCATCACAGGAAGTGATAGGCATGGAATTGTAATAAATGCGGGCTCTTTTGACTGTGTAGTTGGTGTTTGAATTTCCTCATTAAAGCAAGGGAAAAGCAAAGCCAAAAGGGATGGCTTCTCACGACGATAATTATCATTTAGGAATTATATATTGCCTTGATGGAGAATTTTAGTAAAAGACTGCACTTGCATATGATTTTATATGGGATGTGCTGCATTAGAAACATTAATATCTTTCTTCTTTTTTTGTCATCCGTTAATCCAATTTTTGTCATTTCTCACCTTTTAGTTCTATGCTTCAGCAGACCTTCACGGTTCAACTGTTGGTTGGCAAAAAGCAATGTGAGTGGTACTTCCAGGTAAAATCCTTTACTATTAGCTCATTTGTTTTCTCTCTTGATTCTAAAAGTGCAGTCACTTTTAGGATTATCCTGCATGTGAGTATTGTTAAAGAATATCTTATTCAAAAGCTTAATCTGGTAGGTGAAGTTCTTTTTGAGCTTGAAATTTGCAGAGGTCCATTACCTTATGCTTAATTAATTAGAAGAGAAAGTGGAGGTGATAGAATTTAAACTTGCGACCTTTTGGTCATCAAGGCTCGATATTATGTTAAAATATTATTTCACCCAAAAGCTTAAGTTAGTAGATAAGGTTTCAGGATATGATTTATATTATTCTCTAACAAGTATAAAAAATAAGAGCGCTTGTTGATCAACTTATTTAATGAACGGTGAAGGTCTGCGAAAGCATAGAACTGCAATGTGAAAAATCTACCTCAAGATTATTTTGTACGTCAATGATCTTGTAACTTGCTTCCTTGTTAATTTCCTGGTCGCAAAGCTAGCAAAATTGCAGAAGCACATATAAACCTAGCGTAGCCAAAATCAGCCCAACAAACATTTGGTAAGTTCACATCAGTCATAGGTTAGAAAGAAACCTAGTAAAATGCCACTATCATTGCAACAGTGAACTTCCCCCTACCCAACCTTAATACTATAACTTCTACAGCAAGCCTCCCGAGTCCTCACTCCCTCTCTGTGGTAAGGTCATGCTTTCTAGTCTGATCTATGCTGCCAATGGACAGAAGTAACCACTATCATAGAGCAATTCAAGTGGCTGTAGATCTAGAGCAAACTACAGTATTGCCTAATTAAGTGAAAACTCAGTTCCAAACAAGTAAGCAGTAAAGCTAGATTTTGCTCCTGATACATTTTTATCTTCCTAGAAGTTCCAAATGGAAGTTGGGAAAGCCAGCTCTTCTTGGATGTCATAAACTGGGAAACTATTCAATTCTGCTCCTTGATAATCTGCAGTCCCATGCATTTCAATCAGTGAATCCCAATTGAAACTCTTGTCTGCCAAGGCTGTAAGTTCTTTATGATTGTTTTGTGAAGATTCTGGTGCCGTGAAGCATTCATCGACATCATTGCTATCTGGCTGTTTCTCTTCTTTCAGTATGCCCAGCTGCTGAAGGAACTCGTTTAGGTCAATCTGTGGTTTCTCGTCATGATTTCTCAGTAGCATCTTCTCTGATGATGTTTCCACATCTTTCTCTGCTGCGGCAAGGTTTGCAACATGGTTTTCGTCTCTTACAATCATAACTTCGGCCCTGGATTCAGATGAAGAAGAACTGGAAGCAACAGAGGATTGATTAAGGGGCCTATTATTCTTGAGTTCTTGGAGCCGCTGATGGATGACATGAACGCTAGGCTGTGCATGTATATTAAGCAACCCACAAGAAGGAAACATGGAAATGAAGTTCTTGGAAGGAATCCATTTGAACTTCTGTGATTTGTTTAGAGGATTAAAGTTAGACTGAAGGTGAGGTAGGTTAAGATAAGCATCTGGTCCATACAGTCTCCTTGCAGCCTCATCATAAGCCATGGCAGCTTCTTCCGCCGTAGCAAAAGAACCCAGCCATAGTCTGGTTCTCTTCTTAGGTTCTCTGATTTCTGCCACCCATTTGCCCCATGTTCTTTGACGAACCCCTCGGTACTCACACATGGCGTTTTGAGGACCACCTTTGCCTCTTGTTGGACCTTTCTTCCATGGTTTCAGTGGAGATTTTCTGCAATTTTCCATCAGAGTTATCGGGGGTGTGAAAGTAAGCTCAGTGAGGAGTGGGAGTGAGAGTAGGAACTTGGGGAGTGCAAAAAAATGGGTGGAAAGGCGCGGGATATGTAGTGTAAGAGAACAGCTTTGGTTTAAATGTTGTCACGTTTAGGAAGAGTTCATGCCCGTGTGACCGTTTGTGAGTGTTAGATAATTTCAAATCTTGGTGTTTTTTATTATTTTGATGGTGTTTTTTTTTCTTAAAAAAAAAAAAAAAAAACCTTTGAACATACTCGTGTTGGTGGTGTATGAAGGAACTAAGTGGGCAAAATTGTACGAATTGGAAATTGTTGACATAACAAAAATGTTGAAATGGATGCCTTCCGAATTCTGATTATGCTTAACCAAATTCCCATCTTGTAATCAAAGGGTGGTTGAACTTCGAAGTATTAGGAAAGTAAATGTTGCTGGAGCTTGTCCATCACATTAAACAGACTCGTGAAAATAAATGACAATCCCACAGAAAAAAAAAAAAAGGAATTGCTTTGAAATTTGTAGTTGTAAGAAACAATTGGTTATTTCCTATTTCTTTATGCAGTCTCATTAACATCAGGATGTCAAATATGAGAAATTACTGTATGAGTCAAATTCACCATTACCACGTACTTAAAAATTGATAGATCCCACAATCATGTTATATTGGATTCCATATGATTTATGTGAATGAACTGATGAGGTACTTATATGATAATTTCTTGTCAAATAGACTAGCCTCCCTCTCTCATTTCTTTAATTTTTTTCCCTCAAATTATTCAAAGTAATTTCTCCTATTTATCATATCACTAAAAAAAATAAAAAATAAAAAAAAATAAAGACGTTGTGTATCCCCCCCCAAAAAAAAAAAAAAAAATCACCGACCATTATATGATTTTTCTTAGACAAGTGATACCAAATGCTGTTAAAGTTGGCACTCAACCTTTATCACAAACAGTAAAAACTAAATAAAGAGTGAATAATAAGATTGCGTAGTGGTGGTGACTGGAATTTGGTCATATACAGCTTGACTGCCTTTCGAGTAATTAAAAGAATTGATGCTTGCAATAACTCCAACTTGCAAAGCAATCAGTCCCTGGCATCCTTTGCCTTGGATTCTTTACTAGTGTTTCTTCATGAATTCAATTTTTACTTGAGGAAACCCACCTCAACATTTTTCATTTTCACGAGCCCTATTTCACATGCTTTCCTGCCACTAACGACCTGATTCCCGAGACTCTCACCTTTATCCCATGCCCATGCTCTCCTCTCCCTTCCTCTCTTTCTTCTGGGTCAAGTACCACTTAAGTAAATTGCAACAACTGTACCTACTACCGATGGTCTGCAAATGACCAAAACATATCACGTGTAATAGTAGAATTGTGCTCTTCAACTTGCTCTGTTCCTCTCATGAGTGGATATCATCATCCATGGTTCTAATGCTTGTACGGTAGTTACCATGATTTACTAATGATCAAGCAAATGTGAAGATATACATAATGACAATTTAATCTCGCACTAATTTTCAGATAGCTTATATGGCTCTTAATGCAATGATCCTCAGATGTTTCACCACAGGAACTTGTTCGTAGCAAAGTAACCTGATTTAAGCGAACAATGTTCAATTCTTGCAAAATGTCTACCAAGTTGATGGTTTGATTGCATTAGCTCTTTATGAAAATAAGCTCTATGTCCTTAAAACAGAACAAGAAGACAGAGGAGATATCCACTGCTTGTAAATATATATCAATAAAGGGAGTAAAAGGCAAAAGAGCCGCTTTCTGGCCCTCATTTCATGTAGGTTCTTCTGTTAAGTGATCCAAGGAGATAATCAAAACTTGAATCCCCTCAATAATAGAACATGAAGTATGTCTTCTCAAGAAAGATTTGATTCCATTCCTTAGCAAACACAAAATTTACCTGCGCTGGCTTTATATTGAAAGCTAAATGTTGGGTGATAACAATACGCATCGTCCCATATTGGATCACATGTGCTCATGACCCAACCAACAAGTTTCATGCTTCTCTTAGATTTACAATTAACCATATACAGGAAAGGGCGAGGTGTAACTTAATGCACAACAGTTTCTTTGACCATCAGTAACCCAAATATGAGAACACGTCCATACAAGCAAACTGATGAGGCTGGCAAAATTTTACTTGGATTTAGGGCTTACTTTGCACATGTTCCTCCATTTATCCTTAAGGTCTATTGTTGTGCGGCCATTAAAAAATACAGAACTACCATACTCCAAAATGTCTTTCCATGCAAATTTTCCGTCACTTGAAAATTTCTGCAATCCCTCCTGTTACAGTAAGAGAGAAATTAAAGCCTGACAGACTCACAGACCTGTACGATGAAGAGCTAAATGCCAAAACTATATGATATGCACAACCAAGAAAATCTCTCTTTCCTTGCATATGTATAAATGCATTTACCTACAAGCATATCACTGAAATAAATATTGATGACAAGCAAATATGCAAGAAAGAAGTACCTTGAGTATCTCCTCCTCCTGAGCTGTCCAAGGAACCTTTTTCCGCCTCATTTGAGGCATTGCAGGGTATGTACTGCAGATCAAAATAACATTTAGATCAATTACGATTGCCACTGCAGTCAAATGCCAATTAGGAAGGATGTGATTTAACAAGGGAGCAAAGTGATTTACAGATACACACACACACAACAAAAAAATAATAATAAAGGTTGACATAGCATAGAAAGATTGTTTGAAGGTAGTAATAATAAAAGTCAAAACTATTTTAGTTCTGGAAATAGCATTTATAAGCACTATGAGTCTATGACCACCAGCATGGCACTTTAAATAACTGGAAACTTACTGTCGTTTCTCTATCTTTCGGAATCTTATGAAGTAATTAGAAGTTATTGACTTGTCATTTTCATCATCAGAGGTTTCTCCTCCATCGATGTTGGTGGCACAAATAGCTTTCTGTCTTTGTCCATCTTTTGTCTGGTTTCCAGAGACAATCTCTTTTTCTTTACGCAATTGATCGTCATCACTGTCATCAGAATCAACGCAAAGTTGGTTTTGGTTTCTGTCATGCCCAGTTCCATATGAGTTCTCTCGAAGCATCTCCTCCCCTTCCTTTTCTCCATTAGATATATGATTAGTCCCTACATTTACATCAGGCTCCTCTTCTCTACACACAGAATTAACACCAATACATGATGCCGAAGGCTCTACTAGCTTCTCCTTCCCTTTTCTTTGCTGACATTGATGATCATTACCTTCAGATATATGACCTCGAGTATTAACTCGATTGCATTTTTTTCCTACCAAATTCTCATTTTCATGAAATTTATTAAGCAGATCCTCGTCTCCATTCTGTCTTGAGCTGCTGTGTCTTTTGCTATCTACTCTCTGTGTATGTTTGTTTGAGTGATACTCCTGACACATTTCAATAAATACTTTCAGTTCCTTCCTTGCCAAAGAGGCCTTTTTCTTAGCTTCAAGGTACTCTGGAATAGCAAGAGAATATGCGCAGAAAGGGCAGTAAAAGTCTCCCCTCTCATCAAAATGTGGAAAGGAACCTAAACAGTTCTCATGAACTGCCAATGGGCAACCACCAGCATTACAAACCAACAACTGACCATCTTTGCTGCATTTTATACAAAGATTTTGATCTGTCCAGTTAGCAGCTGCCAGGAAATCATGACTTAATGTGCATTGAGAGCTCAGGAATTGACTCTTCTTTAAACCGACATCAACACTCTCATGCTCATATTTGTCACTCTCATCTGACTCGTCTTCTTCAGATAGATGGTCTATGCCACCTTCTCTTTCATCAGTATCATCATTCTGGTGAAATCCATTCGAGGATACAATATTTGATGGTTTTAGTTGACCAATAAGATCAGAGTTATCTTTGTTTTCATTAACAAAGACTTTATCTGGGGCTCCTACAGATGGTGCAGTGTTTGATAATCTAGGTTCAGCATCATTGATTTTATCCACTACGCGGTACAGGTGGAGTCCATCCCCAAACATATACTGTGGCTTTTTGTTGGCATTGTGAGCAATCTCATGCTGATTATAGTGGAATGCATTATCAGTATCAAGACTTTGCCCGTGCCTATCCATACTGACACATTCATCATGATCATTCTCTACAGACCTGCTTCCTTCGAATCCACCTTGTGAAGTTTTTTCTTCCACATGGCAATTTTTGTTTTCAGAATCCCCAATCACTCGGTCAAATGAATCTTCTACCAAGTCCATGTGCTGTGGAGGAGGAGTTGAAATTTGTTCCAAAGACTGATAGTCACGTAAGGCATCTTGCTTGAGCCTCTTGGCTTGTGGATGAAGATGATGACCGTCATCAACACGATCTTGGTCTTCACAGTCTCCAGACAGATTTTCACTAATCAAACCACTTCTATCCCTCTTAAAGTTCAATGGGTTCCTGCTAAGTGAATTGTCCTCCACTACTCCATTCTCATTTTCAACCAGCAAAGGAATCAAATTTTCTTCAGGAGCATTAATTTGTCCATTAGTGTCACTCTCATCAATCCTCCCAGCGGGTAGACCAAGGTTGCCATAATCCGCAGAAATTCTGTTACACCTATCATTTGCATTCACCAGTCCACTATATTCCTTCAGTAAGGCATATGGATGAATTCCCTCAAGGATTGCATCTTTCACCTGGTTTTCAAAACAAAATAACAATCACAAACAGCAAATGAGAATCAATTATCTTCATTTCTGTTTAACAAGGAACTTAACAAAATAAAGAAATTCCCAATCACCTTCTCTAAAGCGCATTTAGGCATAGAAGCTCTTTTATGCATAATGAAAGGGTGAATATCCCATTTCAATTGCTCTGGTCCACCCCTTTTCAAATCTGATACTGATGTCTAACAAACAAGAAACCCATGTCAAAATATCTCAATCATGTCCATTTGAATAACAAGTATTTATAAGATACCCCTTGCTTCAAATCCAAATTGCTTACAAGTGAAAGCAAAAATTGTAAACAGAATCACCTCATGCAGTATAGATTGAAGTACATCTACGCAACTCTCTGACAAATCAAATGTGACTTTTGGTTCTTTAGAAGGAACATCATTCGTGATTCCATTACAACGACAGAACAAATCCTCTAAGCATCTCAACGCGACCATTTCCCTCGTGTTTTTCCCCAAACCATCAGGTATTTCTGAAGCCGCCTCAATCAAGTCTGGAACAAATTGAACAGAACAAAACACCTCAACCCCCCACCAAAAGAACCAATCAAAACAACCCAACTAAGCCACATTTCATTTCAAAACATACAATCAACATTCCTTACTAACTCAGAAAATGTATGAACTCAAGAATGCTGCACACATACCATGTAAAATCAAGGACTCTATTTCTGGAAAACTTGCTAGGTACTCAATGACCCAAAGCCACGCAAGTCCCGTAGCCGAACTTGAAGGATCATTCATCAAAGCCTGCCTTTTCAAAATCTAGCAAAAAAAAAAAAAAAAATCAAAGTAATTAAACAGTAATTTCACATAACATAAACATAATAACCATAAATTAGGGTTTCAGTAAAAGTAGCCTAATTTAAAGAAAGCGAACCCTACAATGTGAGTGTGTACAGAGAGTAGAGCCAAAGACTAAAAATTGATAAAAAAAAAAAAAAAATGGAAGGAAGGAAAGAAAGTAAAGCCCCAGTTTGTTCGTTTGGTTTAGAAGAAAGGTTTGATTTTGTGGGGATTCAAAATTGGGAAGGAGAAAAGGTTAGAAAATTGTTGTTTTGGTTTTCTGTTTTGATGTTGTCAATTTCTCGGGAACCAAACAGGATTTAAGAGAGAATTTGAAAGATTAAAGAGAGTGTAATTTGTAAATACCTTTTCTAAGTGAATTTTAATCACAGGAGAGGCAACGGTCACGTCGCCAAATGGAGTTTTGAGTTCTGGAGAATTGAATTCTTGTTCTTCAATTTATCACCTTCCCTTCCTTTTGTGTAATTGAAGTATTTGAATTTCGCGTTGTTTGAAGGATTTCAATTCTACGAGAAGGGGAAAGAAAAAAGGATTAATAATTCGTCCCTCTTTTCTTCTTATTTTTTTAATATGGCTCCTCCATTCTTTTTTATTTATCTCATCCTTCTATTCCTATATATTTTCTTACTGAGGTTTTTCCGATAAAATTTCATTTAATTTTTCAATGACAAATGGCAAGTGGTATTCCACATCCGATAAAAATTTCATATAAAACAGCACGTCATATGAAATTAGCATATCATAAAAAAGGGAAAATTATTTTTTAGTTTTATTGTATTAATTTCCATTAGTATTTTTTTTGTCGTGTGTTAATTTCATATAACGTGTGTCATCATTTTACGTGATACTTTTATCTAATATGAAATGTCATATGTAACTAGTTAATGAAAAATTAAACTAAATCTAAATGAACCATATTAAAAAAATATCTAGAATATAGAGACATAATAAATAAATAAACAAATAAGAATTGAAAGAGTTTATTAAGAAAATGTAAAGAGTAAAGAAACGAATTACGAGGATAAATACACTTTAAAAACACTAATTTTTTATTTTTCTCAACCAAATATATATTTTTTATTTTATTTTATTTAAGTATGTCGATTTTTTTAAAATTATTAATCAAGTATTTTCATTAATTTTTTCATTAAGTGATGGCATACTCGTTATCCCTACAATACCAAATTGTAATTTTATCCTATTTTTCAATTGATAACATGGATTAAAAAAATTATTTGAGTATATAATTTTTTTAAAATCATCAATCAAGTATTTTTGTCAATTTTTATATTGACTGATGAAGTGTTTGTTGTTCTTAGAATACCAACTTACAAATTTGCTTTATTGTTGTTGAAGAAAACTTTTTTTCAAATTATTCTATCATTTTAAAATTTGAAAAAAAAATACTTTTTAACTTTAAAATCTTAAACTAAAATCAATTAGGTTAAGTTGTGAAGATTGAAGAAAAACACAAACATAAGATTTTTTTTAATCAAAAAAATCCATTGCTTATGAGCACTTGAGAGGAAAGTTTCCTCCAATAATAATATAAAAAAAAGATAAAATTATAATTTGGTATTCAAAATATAAAATATATTACTAATTAACGAGAGAAATTGATGGAATTGTTTAATTTATAGTTTTTTTTTAAAATATATGTTTTCAAATTAAAAAATTAAAATTCATGTATTTAATTGAAAAAAAATTATAATTTAGTATTCTAAGAGTAACGAATACATCATTACTTAACGAAAAAATTAAAAAAAAAATACTTGATTGATAGTTTTAAAAAATCATTACATTCAAATAAAAAAATAAAATTTTTATATTCGATTGAGAAAAAATTAAATGTTGATGTACTTATACTTGATTGACCAATGAAAAAACGACAAGCAACTTTCCAGTTTCTCTTGTTTTTCTAAATTTAGATATGAGTAAGAGAAATTACTTTTACTTATTTCATTTTTTTTTTTTTTACATATATACAAAATTGGGGCTCGTTACGTATCTACGTTAGTAAAAATCTATCAATATATTAAATCTCAATTTTTTTTATATAATCTTTAGGTGTTGTGTGGTAATCGAAATAGAGTGGTGGGAATGAAAATATAAGTTTTATTCTTACATTGTAGTTGTTTGGTTAAAAGGAATGAAGTGGGAATGGGAATGAAAATTTACATACAACTTCATTCCCACATAAGATGTGGGAATAAAAAACAAGGAATGAGAATGAATTTTTTTCAAAATAATAATATATTTTATTTATTTATTATCTATTAACTATTTTTGCCATCATCACCACCACCACCATTACAACAACCACAATCACCACCACTATTTTCATCACCATCATCGCAACTATCACCACCACAACCATTACAACAACTACAATCACTATCACCACCACCACTATCTTCATCACCATCACTACAATGACCATCACAACCACCGCTATCTTCATCACCATCACTACAATGACCATCACAACCACCATCATCATTACCACTGCCATTGCCACCACTACCACCATCACTACAACGACTATCATAACTACCACAACCACTACCACTACTAATATCATCATTACCGCCACCACTAGAACCACCACAATCACTAACATCACCTTTATTATTTTTATAACTATTATAGTTTAATAAAATTATTTTTTTAATCATTATTTATATTTATATACAAAATCAGATATTAAAAAATTTAAATTGCATTCCGATTCCTTATTAGTATTTCAAACACGGTATTGGAATACAAATACCATTCCAATTTCTTAATTTTCATTCCGATTCTCGCATTCTCATTCTCATTCCCATCACTCTATTCCCGATTACCAAACAGCACCTTAAGGATTTATCTTTTTGCTAAAACTTTAGGCATTTTTTTTATTTTATTTTAATGTTGTCGTGTAGGATTATATTAAAATCCCAAGCTTGCTGATAAATTTTAAATATTTATCTTTTTACTAGAACTTCTAGAGATTTATTTTGATTTTGGTGCTGCCACGAAAGATATGTGATTTGGTTTATATATATATATATATATATATATATATATATATATATATCAAGATTAATAACAAATTAGTTTTTGGTTGAAAACCATATTAATTATATGCGTATTCTTATTGAACCCAAACTCGTATAAATAAAGATAATTCAATTCTACTAATTAGTTATTTATTTGGAATCTACTTAATATATATATATATATATATATATATATATGCGTATTCTTATTGAACCCAAACTCCTATAAATAAAGATAATTCTACTAATTAGTTATTTATTTGGAATCTACATAATATATGTATACTCTCTATTTATGACTCTAATTTCTTCAATGGCAAGCATGCTTTCTCTTTTTATTTATTTTTCTTTATATTATTTAATACACTATTTAAGTGCAATTTTTTGTTTGAGAATTCATATACACTCATTTTTAATCACAAGCAGTGCGCAATTGTTTTGTTCTTATTTAATTATAAATAGTGCTAATCTATTGATTTGTTGAATTAAACCTATAATTTTTAATAAATGAAAATTATTATTTTTTAATAAACCATAGCAATGTGTGGATAAAAAACTACTTTATTTTATATAACTAAAAAAAATTCGAGTGGAATAAAAAATAAAGTTAGTTTTGCTCATTTTCCTCACTTTTAAGTATAAAACAATTCGTAATGTTACTCCTGTGAGGAAAAAAGAATGACTTTGTTCCATAAAAATAAATTTTTATGGAAGTAATTACCAACTATTAAATGGATTCACTTAATGGACGGTAAGAAGTTATTTTATCTTTTTTGTAATTTAACTAATTGTTAAGATAGTTACAAACAATTAAATATAATTTCAATAAAAAAATTCCTTTTACCTTAGAGAAGAAAAAATATTATTTAAGTTATAAAGAAACTATTTTTAAATGATCAAGAACCAATAATTATTCTCTATGTCTCAAAGAAATTATTCCCCTTTCTATTTATATATTTATCGTATGGTCAAAATTTTAAATAATGCAATTTCCTAATTGATAAAAAAATTAACTCTTTCTTCCCATTTTATGTTCTTCACTAACAAAAAATCAATATTCTTTATATTTATCTCTTCTACATGTAAATATCTTTAACATAATTTTTTTTAAAAGATTGTCACATGAAAAATAATCTTTCTTGTAGTTGTAGGGATGTAATTGCATACCGAAATTTTGAGAGTCAAATATTTTCATTAATATGTTAGTTTTTTATAACTTAATTGCTAATTAATTTAATAATTTTTTTTATTTGCCATTTTAATTTTGAATGAATTTTCTCCTTAAATTAATATTGGTTCAATGTGATGGATGATTAAATTTAATATTTAAAAATTTTAACAAAAAAAGTATTTTAGAAAAATATGAACGAAAATACTAATATTACATAATAATTAATAATTTTTTAAAACTGTATGAAAAATTAAAAAGAACGATCTTTCTGAAACAAAGAAAATAAATAAACTGTACCGGTAACACTATCTTTTCATTTTGTAAATTTAAAAATACTGCAATGATAATATTCTGAAGTAACCATAACAAGTTTTAAATAAAGCCACTTGTTTGGTATGGAAAGATAAGAGCGTATATTTATTATTTAGAGAAACTAGGCCTCAAAATGAAATCACCTATAACTTACTTTGGAAGTTGGAAAGGCCCATCTGAAATGCTGTTGATTAAATCAGGTATGGTCTATTCGGATGCATGGTCAAGTTTTCATTCAAGCAGAAAATCATGCCAACAAGTCAAAGAATGTCCTCAAAATGAACACAAAACCCGTAATTTTTAAAGGATTTTTTTCTTTTATCACTCTCAGGCATCGTGGTTAGTGGTTAACAAATATCTACAGCAATTTTTTTTTTGTTATATATATAAATTAACTAAGTCTATTGGTTTTCCTATTAATTGAGGAATGATTCAAAAGTTTACTTACATGAGTCGAATCTTAAAACTCATATGAAGGAAAAAAAATTTAATCACTTGAAAAGTAGTTTGAGTATTTTCTAAAAACTCTTTTTCTCTTTGCTTCGAATCAGATTAGGAAAGAAAGTAGAGACGAAAAGAAAAGCAACTAGAGCCATAACTTTAGAGGAAAAAAAAAGTTTCAACACAAATCAATTACACTAAAATTGATTTTTCGGGTTCGTTAACCGATAGATCAAGCTCAAATTTGATAGATATGTTCGAAAGAGATAAACGCACATTATGAACTCGTGGATGTTTGGTTTTGAGTTTTAAAGAGTGAGATATAATGCTTGCAACAATTCTATTTTCTTATGAAATATGAATTTGATTTCTTCTCTTTTGTTTGTGTATCATCTATTGATTGATGAGGTTTGTCAAGGGTATGTAACCTTTGTTGCTTGTAGCTAATGTAGTCCTTTAGTTTAATCTAAAAAGGATTCATTGTATTACTCATTATTGTTGACGAGTGAAAGTTTTTGTGAACTCCATCTCGTGATTTTTTCTTCTTAAATTGAGGAGGTTTTCCACGTAAAATTCGTGTATTCTTTATGTGATTAGTATTCTATTTTTTAGATTATTCATTACTTATTTTGTCTTTATTTGATTGTTCAAAAAGAAGATTCTCGCTGTGTTATTTGTATTTCTTTACTCAACACGAGTCTAGAGCAATATCGTCGTTTAATGTATTGAAAATGATGAGACCAAAATGCTATATTTGTCCGTTCATAAATTAAGTAACAAATTAGATACATTTTTATGGTTGATAGACGGAGAAATACAATTTGAGACATTATTTGACATTGAAACGAACATTCACGCTTGATGGAGTATAATTTTTAGAAATTTATTTAAGTTATTTTTTTTTGTTGAAAATAAATTATTGTTTGAATCAAAGGTTATTTCTAAACTTTGATTAAAAATTTTCTTATTCATATTTCAAAATTTTAAACTTTTCAATTTAATGATTCCGTGTTATGCTATCTCATAATCATTTATTTGAGTCATTTTTTACTAGTTTAATTATTTTTATCACAATTTGTATATATAAAAATAAATTTTAAACTATATTTCAGAGTGAATATTACTCTTCATATGTTATATTATACAAAATTTTATATTAAGCTACTAAAAAATTGTTGGATTAATAGTAAGCGAATTGGTCATCATAAGAATTTTATACCAATTTTCTACCCACGATGATGGGGATACGGAAAAAAAAATCTTAAATTAAGCGAGTAAACTATAAATTAGTCCCTCTAATTTTGACAAATGAATTAATTAGTCATTCCGGTATCAAAAACTAATTATTTAATTCTTTTAATCATTATTGGCCATGATTAATTTAATTTTTTTATTTTATAAAATATCTTCTTCTTCCTCTTTTTTTAATCAATATTTCCATATTTTTACTTATTTATTTATTTATTTTCTTTTTTTAAAAAAAATCAAAATAAAATAAAAATAGCAAAAAAAAAAAAAAAAAACTAATGGGGTGTTTGATAACCTATTTAAATAGTCTAAAAAAATTAAGTTGTAGTACTTAATATAAAAAGTTTTTAACTTATTACTTTTTGATTAGCACGTTCAGTTGAAAGATTTTTAAAATGTTTCAAATATGACTATATCGTCCTTATATATTCTTATATCTTTAGTTATACAAACCAATTGAAAAACAATCTCTACTATCCCTATTTTTAAAACAAAGGAAACCTTTTCCATTATCGGTGCTTCCATTTCGAAATCCGAAATGCCAACGTCTAATCCCATTGTAGGTAATTTTCCTACCATTCCATTATAAGTGATTTTTCTTCATGTCCGTTGATATGTTGATCAATTTTTTTTTGTACACTTTTTTTAGAGAAAGATTGATTCTTTTTATAGATTAAGTTGTTTTGTAGATTAAGGGGTTTTAGTTTCCGGGTTTTGATTTATAGTCCTTTGTGTCTTTCTAATTCCATCATCATCAATATATATTTTTTCTTTTTGTACAATTTTCTATTAATATCCTTCAAATCCATCAAAGGCTTCAATTGGGAATTCAATTAGAGCGGGGAGTTTTTGTGATTTAGAAAGACACGATTCCTATAATAGAAGCGTAATCCGGACATAAACATAGTTGAAAAATTAATAAACTCTCTCCGTTGCCTTACATAGTTTTGCTTATCTTCTATCCATTTTCGAAAATTGTCTTCCGTTTTCGGTATAAATACCGACAAAATCTATTAAATGATTTAGAACTATCCGACAGGATCAATAAAAGAGCCTCGACTTTGCTCGGAAAAGTTGAGCGATTAACTATAGTTATTGTTCAAGTTTATCAATAAAATATCATATTACAATTACAAGGCTAAAATTGTCATGTATATATGCTTAATATGTTCAACAACGAGTACTTATCAAACAAACTTATTATATTCAACACTTAATTTTCAGTAAATATCAAACAACTTTTTAAGAACATATTCAATATTTAATTATTCAATACTTAAAATTCAATAATTAACGGATTCGATACTTAATTTTCAGTTTTATCAAACACCACTCAAATAATTAGTTTTTGAAGCCGGAAAGACTAAATAATTATTTTTTGAAACCAAAAGGACTAATTGATTCATTTTTTAAAGCAAGAGAGACTAATTTATAATTTACTGTAAATTAAGCTGAAGTTTTGCTTTCTTGAAAGAAATTGCCACAACCATTAAAATGTTAGCTTCTCTCTTATAAGTCAAAGTTTTGACTTACCGTGCATTTTTCTAAACAATTTCAGCAAAATGGAACTCTCCCTCTTTTTTCTTTTTTCCTTCTTTTTTATTAACAAGGAGCAGATTGAGTTTCGAAGAAGGTTACTCAAACTTATACTTTTTCCTTTAAAAGAAAAACCTTATAATCCATCCTTCAAGTGTCATCATAGAATTTTCAAACTCCTTGTTCAAAACTATTTTCCTGGACGATTTCAGCAAAACGGAGCTCTCTCTCTCTCTCTCTCTCTATCTGGGAGTTTGCCTATGTTTTGCAAAGAGCTGTTCGAGTTTGGAGCAAGGCCAAGCAAGCTGATACTTTTCCCTTTTCTTTTCCCAAAAAAAAAAAAAACAAACAAACAAATAGTCCCTCCAGAATTTTTGAACCTTCTCGACCTCATAATCCTCCTTTAGGCTTATGCATCTCACATCTTTGCATTGCAATATATACGTTTTGTTGCCTAAAGGGATATCTCTGATTGGTCAGTCCCAGAATATGAGGCCACAAATTTAAACTCTCTCATAGTAAACTACAACAGACAATATTCCTCCTTGCTTATCAACTATCACCAAATTAAGCATCCAGAAAAGTACAACCGAATTTCAAATATATTATGACACAAATGCTTTTCTTTTATTGCTGTTTTCTAGTACGTCTATGCTTTAATTTTGTTAATGGCATATTAATCCGTGCCTCTCCCCTTCCCCACCTGTCCTCTCGCACCGACTTCAATAGCGTTAGTAAACTGTAGGTTTAAAAAAAAAAATTATCACAGTTGCTAACCATCAATCCCTGCACCCACCATATTATTCCAAAATCACACCATGTCCCACTCTCATTCATATCTATCTTTTATCATGGGAATTTATCTTTTAATTAAAAATCTATTTTTGATATAATTGCTTTTCTACATGAATATTTATTTTCGAAGCTTCACTTACGCACAAACACACTACATAGATATGCATAAAAGAAAAAGAAAAAGAAAAAGAAAAAAGCAACTTCAGATATACTTGCTAATTTTTCTTAGGACAAATATAGAAACTAATAGAAACAACTAATGATTGATAAACCATAAAACTAATACTGTCAAAATCCAGACAAGCCCAAGTTAGCATGGTAATAATACCTTGGTAAAAAACTGGCAAGAACATTTATGAATCATAATCCCAACCTTAATGCAGCTAATAAAACCTTAATCATTGAAACCAAATATGAACGGCCAGCAAGAAACACACACACACACAACCCTCCTACCCCTTTTTTTGTTCGCTGCTTAAATCACCCACAAGTCAAACCTAAAACATCATGCCAGAAATTAGAGCAAAATTAAGAAATTATATCTAACTTTGAATTAGGTGGAACAAAAAGATACCCAACTTATATAATTACAGACTACTTGCGGCAAAATACATTCACAGGTTCAAAAACTCTACGGGAATACGAAAAAAGAAAGTATTGATAAAAAAAATATAGCCATGTTTAATTTATTTTCCATCTACAGAAAATCCTGTCGTTTACAGGATCAAACTCATCATCAACAACAACCAAAAAAAAAAAAAAAAAGCCCCTTCTAACAAAAGAAAAGATAAAAAAGATCAGGCTAGTATAACAAATTATGAGGTGGGGTGTGATTATAAGGTGAAACAGGCAGGTGGAAGGGACAAAGTCTACCTGGGCAAGTTAAAAAGATTGCGAAAGATACGAGAAAATGCAACACGAATCCTGGGATAAGCCCTGACAGTATAGAAGGATGTCTGGCGGAATAAATCCTCGACGGTCTCCACGAAGAAGTTTAGAGATCGAACTGGCGGTATGTAAAGAGTCAAAGGCACCGCCGAGAAGGCCACCGCGAAGAACAACTGCAGCATAGTTAGATTCTGGTTGTTAAGTCAAAACCCAAAATATGGAGTCGTTGGTTTCAGAGAGAGAGAGAGTTTTGTACTTGGTAATTTGTCTATTGATGGTTTAGTTCTAAGATTTTGTTTGGGGGGCGTATAACTAATTTGCTGCTGATGAATGGATAATGATGCGGATTGATATTTTGAAGGTTTGCATTTATAGCAGTGGGTCTATGGATGGTGAGATGTACAAGAAGAAAAATGAAAATACTTGTATGTTGTTTGGTTATTAAAAATAAATAATCAAAAATTAAAATCAAAATTTTATTTTTATTTTTATATTATGTTTGGAATAATAATAAAAAGTATAATAGAATTTAATATTTTTAATATGTAGTTTTTAAAATAAATAAAAATAATTATTAAAAAATAATTTCATTAGTTATAATAATAATAAAAATTATAGAAAAAAAATAAGAAGAAAATAGTAATCATGATAATAATATATTTTTGAAAAATTAATATCACTATTATAGAAAATGACACTAAAATAAAAGTAATAGTAACCATGATAGGAGAATAATGATAATAATAATATTTAAAGAAAATATTAATACCGTTAATAATAATGGTGGTGGTGAGATAATAATGATAATAGAAATAATTGATGCATAACAAATAAAAATAATATATTATTATTTTAATGAAAAAATATTTTTATTCTTTATTTTTAGTCTTTTTTTTTTGCAAAAATAAAATCATGTTTTTAATATTCATTATCATTGCATTTTATTTTTTTCAACTAAACATCTATAAAATAAAAATAAAAACTTGATTTTATTTCTTGTTACGGAACAATACCATGAGATTTTATGTGATTTATGAGAGAGTACAATTTTTTTTAATGGGAGGAATACAATTCTCATTTGAGACTGAAATAAAATATGGATGATTTTAATATCATTTATAAGGGGGAAAAAAAAAGTCAATCATGAGATGAACTTTTCTTGTAAATACTATACCAGTTCGAGGTATGAGTAGGGGCGAGTACTATGCCTGAATTACCCGACCCTGCTGAAGGTTTTTTTTTTAAAAAAAAAAAAAAGGGGGGGGGGGGGGGTGGGGGGGATGGATAAATTTGGGTAAGACCCAAAAAAAAAAAACAAAAAAACAAAAAAACAAAAATTGGAACCAATTGTCTCTGAATTGTAATTTTCATTTTTCAATTTTTATAACTGATGGCTGCAATTTAGATTGTTAAAAGCCCAGGCCGCATAATGAGATCTTTTAGTATGATAACTTAAGACGATATATATATATATATATATATATATATATTCTAAAAAAATAAAAATAATAAATAAAAAGAGATAATTACTAGAAAATTTTTTAAAAAATCTTCTATTCAAAAAACCCACTAATTTACTTTTAAAATTCTCAAATTTGAAACAATTTTTTTGTATCAAAACTCCAATAGTTAACCATCTACTTAACACTAGTTATAAACTTATAATTATTGAGTATTTTGGTGAGTTAAATATTTTTTTAAGTATGAAAGAATTAAAAATAAATTTATGAATTTTTTAGATGGTTGATTTCTTAAACGGTTTTTTTTGGTAATTATTCCTAACTTAAATAAAAGCCATTATCTTCTAATATATATATATATATTTACTGTAGATGCTCATGTTCTTTTAATTAATATATTAAGATATGTTATATATTCATTGCATAATCTAATCTAATTAATTAATTAATTAAAGACTAGTACTACTAATTGTGGTTTTTTTTTTATCACTATATTAATATTTATGAGATCATTAATGTTCATAATTATGCATATTTTTGATTTCTTATTTCTATGATACCCCATGAATTAAATTAGAAGAGTATAACATGAGTCATATTTTATTAATATTAATTAGTTGAATTGCATAATTTGTTATAGCTAACAGGTAATACAATTAATTTCTTAGTTGATATAACAAACGGTCGACAAAAAGAAATAAATACTCATACAGAAGGAATTTTTCAATGTAATAAGTAAGAAAATAATAATTGAAGGTGAGTGTGTTAGTAATAAAAAAGAAAAATGAAACTTATTATTTTTTTCTTCCAATTGCAATAAGAAAAAAAACCTAAACTTGATCATGATAAAAAGAAAAAGATCGAGTATCGGACCCATTAAAAAGTATGAAATGAGATTATTATTAGAGAATTATTATAAAAAATCTCTAAAAAAATCTTCCGTCTAAAAAATAAGTCAATTTATTTTTAAATCTTTTAAACGTAAAATAATATTTTGCCTACTAAAAAATTCATTAAATTTAGTTAATTATTGAGTGTTTTAATAAGAAAATATTATTTTGTATTTCAAAAATTTAAAAATAAATTGATAGGTTTTTTAGATCAATTTTTTAAAAGATTTTTTCTAGTAATTCTTGCTAAAAGGAAAAAAAAAAAACATATGAATATGTTATGCGCGGCTCATAATGCAATACGATTGCTCAAAATATCTTTATAGAAAATTAAACTTATTGTATAATATTGTGAGAACCATAGGCTGACCCAAGTCTATTTTGTAGAAAAATCATTTTCTTTGCCGACCCATCTACTATCAGTGAAAATCGAGGTGACAAAATGCTGAAACATGATATATTCTTTCATCTTATGTGCTAACGAATTTGTATATGCTAGCAAAATGCCGCATTGATTTACAAGGGCAATTAGTTGTGTAGGGTCATGATGGGTTGAAGGGATTAAATCCCACATTTGTGCTTTAAAAAAAAAAACATTCCTTCGTCGAATAAAAAGAAAGGATAAATAATTAATTGAAAGGGACTTTATGCTTTTTGATTTACGATAAGGTTTTGCATTGAATTTTGAGCAACATATGGCTTATAAGCCATAGGAGACATTGCGATATTGCCCCTTATTACAAAAAGAATAATGCATACCTTGACATTGACAGGCAAGTGATAAAACCATGAAGAAAAACAAGTGGCAGCGGTGATAAGTAAGTTCTAGAAGTTCTTCGAGCCCATTGGAAGGGTTGTTAGACAGGTAGGTAAAGTTTTGGCAAAAGAATGGAAGCAAAGTTTCTGACATACGTGATCAAGACTCAAAACTTGAGCCTTGTTGAATTAACAAACGGTCATGGTATTCCTACATTTCGAAGTTTTGAAAATTTGTCTAAGAATTTCAACGACAATTTTTGTGACTCCAGAAAGGAGGTTTTGACCCGTAACCTTTACAGAATATGAAAGATCAACTGAGTTGAATATTTATAGACATTAATTTTCATAAGATTATACATATGATTGTTTTTTTCCAATATAAAATCCAGAGCATTGTGTCATAGACTTGAACTTTTCCTAAGCTCTTGGCACTTAGCTCACTTTTTTAAAAATAAAACTAAGTCAGCCTTCTACAACATTAGTTGTCAACTGAAAAAAACATACACGAGAGATATAAGAATTATTTGTATTGTTCTCTCAAATGCTCACATCTCTCTTCAAATATAACTCTTGTATTTCTCTTATGAATTGAATGATTTGGCCAAATGAAGATCTCATCTTATTTATAGTCATCTACATTTTCAATTGATGGTTAAAATCTATTTGATCTAACAAATACAATTCATTTTCTAACATTCTCCTACGTAGATATTTACAATGAATTATCTAAATATACATAGGCAAGAATAATAAGGAATTCTCTATAATTCTCTAAGACACGTTTAGATTTCTCTTGGACACCCTAGAGATTTCTCAATTGTTCCATAATCTTCTAAAAGCTTTTGAACTTATCTAGCGTTTCCAATTAGCTTCCGTAAAAATTCTTCTTTCGTGTGATGTCTAACAATTGGAATATAAAATCTAAAATGACCGATATGCTCTCTAACCGTTAACCCATTCCGAATAATTTTTTTAATTGATTATATCTAATAACACGTTGCCAACTATTCAAATTTAAATTAAATTTGTGGGAAATGGCTTGGTCTCTCCTTATATAATAGATTGAATCTCTACTCTATATTTATATCTTAAAATACTATGTCTCCGTTATTTAGGTAAATTTTTAATCTATTTTAGTGGTCAAACTTTTCGATCAAACCACTTGAAAATATCACATGACATGTACATGATTTTTTGTTCCTTTTGACAAAAGTATCCATCTCAATTTAACATGTTAAGTCTTTAATGTGTTCTTATATAATGAGTTGAATCTACAATATGTCTTTAATTTAGAACAAATGCATATAATTGTGAATTTTGCTAATAATATATTGCATTATAGTGAATTTTTTATTAATTAGGAATATATAAAAATAATTAGTATATGTAAGTATATAAGTGTTCAAGAAATTTTCATTTAACATACTTTTAATGATGAAAAATTCATTATATTATTGTGATTATAATAATTCATTTGTGTATAAAATCGAACAAATGGATATAATATTTACTAACATGTTAAATCATCTCTATATAAAAAAATGTGAATTATGTGAAAAAAAAATGACTAAATTATATAAAGGTCATTTATTGGATTAAAAAAATACATAATTATAATTTAAATGATTGTTAATTTATCTTTTAAGAATATAATTATTTGTTTAAAATTAAAAGTTAGTGAATAATAATATTAAAAGATTGAATTAGCAAATTAATATCATTCTTTTAAAAATGAAATTTGTTAGAGTTTGATAAAGGGTACTTGGATTTAAAAATTATCGAGTGACCAAATCTTTTTTTATTTAATCACAATATCTAGATTTTATCCTAAAAGTATATTATTCAATAATTAATAATGCTATCATCGAGCTATTGTTAACCTCACAAAATACTTCCACAATATCAACATAAAACTACAAGAAAATAAACAATTAATGACAGATTGTATTTCGTCGCTAATTAGCTATTGAATAGCGACCTAATGACAATGAAATTGAAAGTGCAATAATTTGCGATGAAAGAATTATGTCACTAAAGCGAACAACAAAAATTCATGCTAATTTTAGTGAGAAA